TAAGATAACTAATTATAGCGTTTTTAATCAGGTCAGAAGATTTCAAGATGACCGTTTCTGCAGCGAATTGGCCCTCTGAGCATTCAAAGGTAAAGAAGAAAATTTTGCTAAGCTTTTCGTATCTCTTTTTTGTGACCAGGCCCCCAATTTTCGTTTACGGCGCCTATTTTCTTATTTCACAGAAGCATCTGCGAGATATTCTTAAATCAGATGGACTTGGTAATCATTCCAGTGAACTTAAGTAAGTATTGAACGAGATGACACATTATGGTTTATTTCATAGTGGTTTACTTAATTGAAACCTAAAACAGATTTGAGTGAAAAGAAAGAAATATAATACCCACAGGTGCAATCGGCGGTAGCGAGTCGGTCTCCTATTTTGCTTCATTGTCTCATAAAAAAATCATCTTGAGCTTCACTAATATTAGTATTATTTTTTTTTTGTGAGTGTGTGCAATTTCTGTCAATGACTTTTTTATCCCTTATTTATCGCTTTGCTTCAATTTTACAAATTGACCAATTTTTCATTAGAAAGAAAAATGGAACACTTTTTATTCTTTTCTTTTGCAGTTTAAACTTTCTGAAATTGAAAGTATATTACGGGCAGCTAAACTTTGAAGTTCTAGATGAAGAGTATGCATATACTGTAAGGAACTATTCATTCTAATTTCTTATTATTCAGGCAAATCCTAGTCTCCTATCGCTGCCGTTCTTTGTGTGGTCACGCAAAGCTCTCCACACAAACAGGAAGGAGGAGAGTCGGGGAAAACGTTGAGTGAGCGTTGCGTGCGTGTCCATACAAAATGGAGGCAAATCACTAATAAGGAAGTAACAAATACATTTAAGAAATACCCTGTTGAGTGGTACGTCCCCGTTGTAGCCCCATTCTAATCACGGAAATTAGGGGGCTTAACATGTTACGACAACTGCGACGGTAATAAGGACGGCTGAAAGGCATTAGGTTTAGATTGGCAAAACAACAAATCTGCACGCTTTTTTGTACATTTTTTTGCCGTCTCTGCTTGACATAAAAGAGCCTAATTTCACGTTTTGTAGAGAGCGTGAACACTGGAGCAACGATTTTCTTTTTCTTTCTTGAATTTCAGTACAGTCTTTTAGAATTCAACTCCAGGAAAATTTGCCAAAATTTGACGAATTGCATTGACCGAGATGGAATACACACGATAACGTTTGAGACAGCGCCAATTTACAAGTTAGGTGACGATTTCGTAGCCGTCACCGTTGTTGTTGCTTACTGGCTCCCTAATATGGATGTACTGATATAGATCTTGAATAATGTTTAATAAGTAATTAGTTGATTAAGGTAACCTTTTAAATCTCACCGAGGCCTTGTTCGCATTAGGACGAAAAATAATCACCAACTTTTCGTTTTTTTGCAACCTTGTTCACATATGAGACGCGAAATTTTTCGTATGACCAGAAAGGTCAATTGAAGGAAGTGTTTTTTGGAGGATGACCTGACGAGGGACAGATGTCAATGAACAAAGGATTTTCCTGTCTGACAAAAAATTGTCGGCCTTTGAAGTTTGGTAACAGCTGGCGATTGCGAAAATTTTGGTACGGAACCCTGTTAATACGGTCACCAATGGGCCAAAAACATTTGGCCGTATTAACGAGGTGACCGTGTTGACGAGAGTTTTTTTTTTTTTTCAAAGAAAATGAATGGTCGTTTTGCCGGGCGGCCAAAAAAAGTGGCCCCAATAACGAGGTGACCGTATTACCGAAGTGGCCATAAGGCGGGGTTCCACTGTAGGTGAGAAAAATCGTTCGCACTAGAAATGGCTACCTGTTAGCAGATTTTTTTGCAAAACAAACAAACTTTTGTGAACAGGGCCTATGGCGGAGGAGACTAAAGAGTAGCACAAGGGGTGACACTGAAGCAGTTGTTATAAGTAGACTGAGGTAAAAAGGTAAAGGCGCACACGAGCCAAAGAACCAAATGGCGGGAGCGTATTCCGGGTTTCCTTAACAAAAAGCAGGCCTAGGAGTAATGCTTCACCCCTGGACGAAATGCTAGTCCATCGTAGGGTTACCCCACCCCCTCCCTCCCCACCCCAGCATTATGTCGCCGGTATCCATTTATACACCTGGACACCTGGGCCGGGTCGTTCAAAGCTGCGTTAAGATAAGCCAGGGTTAGTACGAAATTTAAATTCAGATATGAAAGCTTAAAAAGCAAAGTCATTTAATTCTTTTTGTCTACACTTTGGTGGTTGGATGCTCTAGAAAATTGAGAAAATTATTCGAGAAAAAGAAAGGTGGATTAGAATTAAAACCCCGGGTAAGCGCTAATCCCATCGGCTTTCAAACAACAGCGCCCTGGGTGAAGAGAGACAAAGGAGAGTAAAGTTCCTTGTCTAAGGAAACAACGCGGCGGGCGAGGCTTGAACCCCGGCCCTCCAGATCCGGAGTTGGAAGTGTTAACCGCTCGGCCATACACGCCTCCTCGAAGGGTTTAAGTACAGTTAGTTAATGTCTCAAATGTTTCTTGACATCAACAGTTTGCACGCTTTCTGTCCGACATTGGTGGCATCATGGGAATGTGGATTGGTATCTCAGCGCTGACGTGTGTGGAAGGACTCGAGCTGATGATGTCACTGTGTTACACTGTTTTGAGGAAGATTAAAGGGAAAAGTGTTGCTGTTCTACACGTGCAACCTAATGATAGTCCTGCTTAGAAGTTAATAACAAGCTATGTTCTTAGTAAAACATGAACTTGAGTTACTGTGTTACACAGTTTTGAGGAAGATTAAAGGGCTAAGTATTGCTGTTCTAAAAGTGCAACCAAATGACAGCCCTGCTGAGTAGTTAAGAAAAAAAACTGTATTAGTAAAGCATGAATTTGAGTTACTGTGTTACATATACACAGTTTTGAGGAAAATTAAGGGAATGGGTATTGCT